TATGTTCTGTCGAAGAGGTAGCTGTCTGTCCTGCAAAGTGCGAAGCGAAGTTTCTAGATTCAACGCTTAAAGTCGGGAAGAGATCGGCGATATAACATGCAAGGACAAGGAAGGTCGGATTATAAGCTCGGGTTGTGGGAAAGATCGAATTGAAGTGACCTTCAACGGTGTGCAGCAACAAAATGCCAAAATATTGGAGAAGCAAGATGGCACTCATGAGATTCCATTTGTGATAAATAAGCTTGGCCTAGGGACTCTTCAGTTTGAAGCAAAGATCAATGGTGTTGTGGCTCCAGGTTGTTCTCTTGAAGCAGAAGTGAAATGGCAGCTAAGTGATGATCATGGCAGTGGGTATTTACGAAAGAACGAGCAAATGGTCAACTGCATGTCAGGAGAGGGTGATGTGGGGAAGTACTGTTTCAGGTTGGGGGATACACCTATGACGTCAGGTATTGTGAAATATTTAAAGGATTGTTTATACGTTTCATTTATGATTCCGAAAGGCTGGAGGGGAGCAGTTGCCGCAGCTGCAAGAACTCGCCATCCTTGCGCCGATTAAAAAAGTAATTAAAGTTAATTAAAGTTAATTAAAGTTAGAGTTAATCAGTGGCGGCGCCAGGGGGGGCAAGGGGGGGCAAATGCCCCCCCAAAATTATTTTTTGCCCCCCCATTTTGCCCCCCCTCAAAAAAAATTATTAGTCACTAAAAGCGACTAAAAGCTACACAAGCGTTCTGTCGTTATCGGAAAATGTATGGCTTATAAGTTGTCATTACTCATTAGTGAATGCGCATATACATATGAAGCTGTTTTTTACAGTTTCAATATTAGTTTGTAAATCTCTGAATGGTAAAACTTGCCAATACTCCAATAACACGTTTCAAAAAAAGACAAAAAAGCTTTAGTTTTGCAGAGTTAAATTCTCAAACGTGTAAGGCAATAATAAGATGAAAGTATCACGAAATTATTTGAATACACCACATCGCATATATGGGGAGCGAATGTCCTAAAGAGGGACGATATTCCTAGGGTATTCGCCCCACCCCCCTGGGAGGCGATATTCCTAGGAATATCGCCACGTTTTGAGGGGGGGGGCGAATTTCCTGGGGGGGGGGGGCGACCTTTTTAAAAATTCTATCTTGCCCCCCCAAAATTTGAGTTTGCCCCTCAAATGCCCTCCCAAATTTGGAAGCCTGGCGCCGCCACTGGAGTTAATTACAATTTATCTCTATGAATTCTCGATTTCAGAAGAACATCACTGGAAAGTCGAAGTCAGCCATGCAGTACAAGACGCAGAAGAGTGTCTCCAAGATCCAGAGGACCCAACATTTGAAGTTGGTGTCATCGAAGCCGGCGGTGATTATTCTGAAGCCAGTATCGTGGACGAAATTACGAAGAAATGGGTTTACTCTGGACCGGCGAAAAACATTACCACTGTTTTTTTGAATCTTGATATGGGGAGAAAGTCCTTGGCAATTTCGCCTGGAAGGTCGAAGTTTAGTTTTCGACGGAAAGTATTTCATGTGAATGCTGATGTGGTGTTTCCGTTTTTTTCCGTGAACTGCCCGCACTGCAGTCTTATTGTACATATTGTAAAATGAACTCATGCGATTGTCATGCCTAAAAAGGTTTATTTTTTGAAAGCTAAGCACTACTTAGAAAAGCTTTCTACTTGCAATCTCGTGTCTTCATTACAGCATTATATAGTGGTGATAATCAGAGCGCAAAACTATAATGTACAGACTAGGATTGTCGTTTGTTGACGGGAAAATTGTTGCATGCGAAATACATGCAGTGGAGTAACATATAATGCATTGCTTATATTACACGAAACGTGAGCAACTGAACAATTTAAAATGATAAATTTTGTCTGTATGCCAGCGAGGTAGGACAGTGTAGTGACTGTGTTCGACGTTGCTTGTTTATTTCACCTCAGTCATATGCAAGAAAAGTGCACCGTGCTTTCAGTTTGAATCTGTTTGTTCTCCCCGCAGTAACAAGTAAGCGAAGAATGGGCGTGGGATATGACGTCTGGGTTTGGTATCCAATGCAAGGCCGTAGCAAGCGGAGAGGTGAGGGGGGTAATCTAGTTCCTTCGATATCAATGTAATCTAGTAATCATGATTTTTTTCTGCGTTGATGTAATGTACTTAGGTGAATATGATGCTTGTGATGTTACTCTGAGTATACAGCAAACGTGAAAAATATGCCTGACCACGGTGGGAATCGAACCTACGACCTTTGGAATACTAGCCCAATTCTCTGTCAACTGAGCTACGCGGTCAGGTCGGTTCGAGTATGTAATATTTCGCAACTGAGTCTGGTTCCTTCAATATCATGCAATCTAGTTATCACGAATTCATCATATTCAACTGAGTACATATATAACACCAACACAGAAAAAAATCATGATCACTAGATTGCATGCCCGTAGGGCGCATCAGGGCGCAATGCAACTAAATGAGTTGACTTGAAAGAGCCAAAAGAGAGCGTTCATTCAAGAAATACTTTTTCATTCTTTAAATGGGGAACTTTAGCCCAGAAAAAACGGCACTTTTTTCACAGTAAAAGACGTGGGGGTGGGCACATGCCCCTGTCCCCCCCCCGTTTCGCGGCCCCTGCACAGGGACATTAGAGTCTTTACGATTAATGACGACAACGGCTACCAATACAATAGATCATTAAAAAAATTGAATAATCACAATATCTGAATAATTTAGATATTCTCTTCGCTCTGTTTACAACGCCAAATCACAGATTTTCATGCCGTTGATACAACGGCTGCATTTCAAGCCGTTCAAACTGGGTTCAGCAAAACTCTTTCAAACATAAAGCCCATGTCTTCAATTTCTGAGACTGTATTAGATTCATACAATTGATAATATACCACGAGTTATCTTTACTGCAGTTTACTTGAAGCAGTTTATTTTGGCCGTCGTCGTCGCGTTGCCGTCCTAAAATTGTAAGGTCTCTATTGACTTGGAAGATTTGGGATAAATTTATTGTATCTCAAAGCAAAAGCATCTCTAAATTCTTTTTTGTTGCACGTTGCAGAAGCACGTTCAGCCAACCTGAACGTGCTCCAATAAACTGAGAAACAATAAAAGGAACAATAAAATAAAATTTTATCCTTAGGCCGAGCTGAAATTTCAGCCCGGAAAACAGAGAACAATTTGTGTCTTGCTGTCAGAGAAGATCACAGAGTACTTCGACATTAGATGTTTTTCAATTGATTGTTCTGAATGGGATTGTGTTGGATATCGCAATGTCTATGAGATATCGTGAGGATGTTCTTGCTTTAGAACATCATCGAAATAATAAAAACTTTAAATTTAGGCACATTTTGTTTATCGCCGCATCGACGTTTGGGACAAGGTCAAGGTAATCGACGAGTTGTCCTCAGCCAGTTGCTGTGACCTCGCAATAATGGCAAGATGGAGTAATACTAACTATATGATGATTGCTTTAAAATGTTTATGAAAGTAGCTTGAGATGTAGCATTAATTTGCTTCAACAGGTAGGTTATTCCACATGACAGATCCTCTATAGACAGTGTTGCAACCTACAGGTCGAGTCACGAGTCGAATCATTTCGGTTTCTGATCGAGTTGAGTCAGCGGCTTCACCCGAGTCAATTCGAGTCACTGGTTTAAGTCGAGTCACTAGCTACACTTGACTTGAATCAGACAATTTGATCAAGTTCATCCCTATCCTCGTCCCCAGGGCCTCCCGGCCACGCGCGTCCTCCCTGGGCACTGGGACATACGGAACAGGAAGTGCGAGAAAACTTGCAGTAGTTTCTAAAGCGCATGCTCAGATGCTCTTCAATTGGGACACCTTACCACCCGTAACAATTTTCAAAGTGGAGTATTACGAAGAAACGAAGTATTTGCGTTGGCATATTATGTTGATAGAATAATTTTTCCTAGCGAAAACTGCTCAACTTCTGCAAAATAGCAATTCTCTGAGAAGCCAATCTTATCAGATCTTTCCCTTTAGTCGTCTAAGCCAGAGCCTAATTTTCAACGACTGAACGAGTGAAAATGGCTCTGGGGACGAGAATGGTCCACCCCACGCTTTTTGTAATGGTTCATTACCTAGCTTGCAGTCTGAAATTAGTAATCAAATTTACGATTTAAGCTAACCACTTTAGTCATTTAATAGCAGTATCTGGGCAGCTATAGGATGTACCAATATCACAGTTCTAGTCAATATTATTTAAGTACGACCACATGAGATGTCTCATCGACTAGCATAACTCGCAACTGGAGACAGAATTAACAAAGAATAGACTTTAATGAACCGCGCGCACTCTGTAAGTTAATTTCAAATTATATAGCACTTCATAAATATTAAAAATTAAAATAGCCGGTCAGAATTAGTATAAGTACAAAAAATTTTGATACTCCATTTTACTGAACTGTGACACTAGCGTTGTTTCGAAAACAGAAACGTAATATAGGCATGCCCGTCAGTAATATATTTTATGCAAATCTCGAAGCTAAGTTCTCATTGTTCACAGGGCTCATTGTTCTTCTTCAGTAATACAATCACAATAATTTTAATGAATTTATTCTGTACAAGTTGTAGCTGAGTTGACTTAAGTCATTTACGGCAAAATCAGCGAGTCGAGTCCGAGTCGAGTCATTTGGGGCTGTTGACTCGAGTTGAGTCATTTTTCGTATTGAACTCGAGTCGCTGAAAATAGCAACTCGAGTCGACTCGACTCCGTCACTCCGATTCAATGACTCGACTCGTTACAACACTGTCTATAGATAAAGCTTATCTTGAGCTCAGTTAAAGGTTTAAAGGTCAGAGTCACGCAAATTATAGCTACGTATTGTATTAGCTGGAATTAATTCGTTTGAAAGATAGTCGGGTACCATTTTATTGATTGTTTTGTAGTTAAGACTTTGAATTGCCGAGAACGTCTTTGCTCTAGTTGTCTTAGTTTAAGGTGTGCAAATTTGCAAAAAACAAAAATTATAATCAGTTCTGGTAATAATTCGTAATTTTTGGTTATAATTGAATTCTGCGCAGACTTCGCTATTTACAGCGGTCTTACCCCAACATGAATTGAAATTTGAAACTCGATCACGTGAAAGATTTTTGGGATTTTTCTCCACAGAAAGTCGAGCGGCGAGCGCAAGCGTATTTGAAAAGATTCGAAGTGGCCATTCTTACTGACGAAATTTACACAAATAAAAAGCTGGTAGGTACGACTTTAATTGAAACAATCTCACATTCTTTCTTTTGAAATTAAAACAGACGTTCAATTTCGAGGAACTGAAATAGTGTGTCTTGGCATTTCCGCGTTTATAACCCCTGCCAACAGCCTGGTAAACGGCTTATAGACGGAAACATTGTTTTTGGATTGTGTTTGGAGGAGAATAAATGAGTTGGATTGCTCAATTTCTACCATGTGATCATTTATCAAATGTTCACTACTTTCCTGAAACCGCAAAGTGAGCTAGCAGTAGACATGTTATGATTGAATGCTATTGTATTGCCGAATATCGCGCAGACTGTGATACTGCAGATGTATATAACAATGGCTGAATGGCACTGTATTTTAATCTCGTAAATATATCACTTTCAATTCTTTGATCCAGACTGGAAAGTTTGTACTGCGCGCCCGAGATCTCGGTCGCGCAATTTTTTTCAAAATGCGCGCCCAGACGCGCAAATTTAAAAAAATTAGCTGTCAGACGCGCAATTTCAAAAATGAGGCGCGCGCGAAGTTGAGATTGCGCAATTTCTCAAGCGCGCGCTTGCATGAATTTAAAATATATTGCAATTTTTCAAGCGCGCGCGCGAGAAATATCGCGATACACGTACGGGAACCGCAATTTTTTTGCGCGCCGGCGGCGCCGCGAATTGAAAAAAATTTTGACTATGTCTAGCAGTCTATGATCAGACCCATCTGGAATTGGCATACTGAAAGTTTATTTCCGACGAGGCACGATTAACCAATAAACGTTAGCCATTCCGAAATTTGATCTAATTGTATTTCGGCGGTCTTTTGTTTCTGGAATATGGCTTTTCAAGGCGAACATCATACGACCATTGAGGCGAAGACTGTGCTGTTGTTCCACTGCGATCATTCATCAAGAGACTTTTGAATCATTCTGCCAGGTAAATGTAGTGTTGTAAATTGTTTCATGTTTTTGTATCGCACTTTTGTATTGTGTATTATTAAAAACTGACTGAATTGTCTGAATACAAATATAGCGGCTATAACACATATATAATACATTGACGCATGTTGTTCAGGATGGAATGATTCGAATTTCGAAATATTGATTGAAATGCGCTACAACTGAATAACAGAATAAGTAATTATTTATAAAGCAATGATTTATAAATATAATCATGACAGCAGTCAGCGTCTCAGACTCCCAGTGTGGTGTGCCATATTGCCAAGTGCCAACTTCGGTAAGGGGCGGACCATTAGAAATCCCGGAAGGGGGGGTATAAAATTTTTGCGGCACGAATTTTTTTTTCAGTCGCGTGTCTCAGCAGGAATTTTTTTTAATGCATTTAATCTCTGCACGAATTTTTTTTCAAGACTATTTCTACTTCGCTGTTTGCTTGCACGAATTTTTTTTCTCTGACGCCAATGGCTGCACGAATTTTTTTCCCAGGCATTTTCCTTTGGACGAATTTTTTTGGGGGAATTTTTACCCCCCCCCCTCCCGGGATTTCTAATGGTCCGCCCCTAAATAACTGAATTTGTGAGGGGCCTGAGGGCCAAACAGAGTGAATCATTTACCGAGTCAAATCCGAGTACGAGTCAATTCCGAGCCCGAGTCACGTAAAAAAAGACGAAACTGAATAAAATTCACAGTCGAATAGGGTTAACCCAAGACTCTATGAAATATGATATAGTATTATAGCCCTAATATTCAATCACAGCCAATTTCCATGTTTCATTAAGATTCATAATCATCAAAACCATTCATCGGTCTATTATTTATTGCCATTAATATTTATACAAATGGGATGGTTTGGTCAGAAAAATTCTGCCTTATTATTCGAACCATATATATTTGATAACATCTGCCTCATATTCTGTAATCTGTAACTATATTGTATTCTCTTATCATCTTTTATGTAAAATCCTGATAAGTCTACCGTGGGTAAATAAAGTTCACAATCACAGACAAACGGACTTTCTTACCCTGCAACTTAACTTTAGGTAGTCAGAGTCTGTACGGCAAACCATAACCAAGCCTACGTTTAGCACCACATATGGCTATACATAGGTTCTATAGGGTATATAACATACCTTTATTATACCTATTAGGCCTACGCAATACTTTACAGTATTGGTCTGCCTCGCAGACACTGCATGTGAACATCTAGGAAATCCATTAACCTAATTGGGATGATACCCACGTATAGAGGTCTTATACTTGCATTTCTGGGACTGGGGTTGGGTTAAATGTCTTAGATAGGACATAGCAGTTTGCGTGACGGAGTGAGTTCGTTATCACATGCGTACTGCACTTCACGGGATGGTCTCCTCGCAAGGCCATGTGAGTAATGTACATCATCAAATTATTCCTATCATTAAGGAATAATTTTAGATGACATGGACTGACAAAGGAAATACACAAAACACTGCACACACTATAACCATGCTGTCCATGCATGCATGTACCTGCTATACAATATTTCACAGTAAGGTCAAGTATACTTTCCAGACCCTGTGAAGATCTTAGAAACCAATAACTAAATAAGGCTTACAAGAAAGTTGCACAACGCAAAATCCCAAACGCCTGTAGAGGTCCGATTACCTATCTTTAATATATAATAACTGAAATACCTTC